GTCAGGGTATCTCGAACGTTATTGCCATGGTTCAGGTGAGTCCGGGTATCTCGTATATGGCGATGGTTGCCTTTTCACAACTGACTCTAATTTGTATAGGGTTTGGACCAGATCAACCCGGCCAAGAAGCGCCCGCAGGTGGCAGCTTCTCTCAAGTCTTTTGCGAACCACTTTTTCCCGTCCGTCGAAAAGGTCCTCTCGGTGGACTCTCGCCAGGAGTGTTCCAACGCCATCCGTTCCCTCTGCACAGCTACACCCAAGGGTATCCGCTGGCGTGATGAGCGCAGCTGGATGTTCGTCGAAAACGTTCAGTGGCCTGAAACCAATGCGGAGGAGGTCGACGATGTCGTGGTTACCGGTGTTGTCCGCGGCAAGGGTCTGAAGGCGGACCGCTTGGTCCATATCCCTGGATGGGGTGACTTCCAGATTGGTGCCATCACAGCAGCACCACTCGCTACTTCCCGCGGGAAGCGTGACGATGCTATGAATGTCGATGAGACTGAGACTCCCCAGCTGTTGGATGGACCTTCTGCGGACTGCGATGATTTGGCCACTGTAGCACCAGAGGAGATTGAGATGGAGGATGACGACTTCCCTGTTGAGGAAGAGCGCAAGGGTGTCCTCCTCGACGACCACCACTACTTCTCTGATGACGATTCTCACATCCCCCCGAAGCCTAAGAGGCTACCAAAGGGTACCTCGGAGTACCAGTCCGCTTGGTTCTTGGGCGACGTGTCCGATTCCGGCTCTGACCTTGAAGACGAGGAGGAAGTTGAAGAGATGGAGATGGACACTGCGGGAGCGCCCGAAGACGGTGTCTTCCCCGACAACAGGGATGCCATGACGGAGGCTGGCCCATCGGAGTATCCCCAGTCAGAGATGTTCGTCGACCCGTCACCAGAAGACGAGGCCAAAGACCTGGAGGATTTCCGTGCGAGCCGCAGGAACGAGGCCAACGAAGATTTGGAGTTCCCTGACGAAATCGAGCTTCACCCTAACGTTCTCGCTCGGGAGCGTCTGGCCCGCTTCAGAGGTCTCAAGAGCTTCAAGACCAGCCCCTGGGAGACATCAGAAGACCGTCCCCACGAGCCGGAGGACTGGCGCCGTCTGCTTCAGTTCGCGGACTACAAGGGTTCCAGGAACAAGTTCCTCCGCGAGGCTCTCGTCGGGGGTGTCAACCCTGGTGTACGTGTCGATGTGCACCTCAAGGCAGTGCCAGCAACCCTCCGCAGCCGGCCCCAGCCCACATCCCTCTTCTCTCTGCTCCGTCACGAGCACAAGCACACTGTTGTCAACATCAATATGCACCTGAACTCCAGCGTCGAGGAGCCTCTGAAGTCGAAGGAGCAGCTCGTTGTTCAATGCGGTCCTCGCCGTCTGGTCGTCAACCCTATCTTCTCCGCCGGCGACAACACCCCCAACAACGTGCACAAGTTCGACCGCTTCCTCCACCCAGGCCGCAGCGCCGTCGCCTCCTGGATCGGTCCTTTGACCTGGGGCGCCGTGCCCGTCCTCGTCTTCAAGAACAAGACCAACCAGGACCCCGAGGTTATGGACTCCGCCGAGGACGACTCCCTCAACAACTTCGAGAACCTCGAACTCATCGGAAACGGCACCATCGTGGCCCCCGACCAGTCCCGCGTTGTCGCCAAGCGCGCCATTCTCACCGGCCACCCTTACAAGATCCACAAGCGTGTCGTCACCGTCCGCTACATGTTCTTCAACCCCGAGGACATCCAGTGGTTCAAGGCCCTCCAGCTCTGGACCAGACGCGGCCGCAGCGGTTACATCAAGGAATCCCTCGGTACGCACGGTTACTTCAAGGCCACCTTCGACGCCAAGATCAACCCCCAGGACTCTATCGGTATCAGTCTGTACAAGCGGGTTTTCCCTCGCAAGGCTCGCGCTCTGGAGGATGTGGTCTATTGAAGATGATATTGGAGCTCGTGTTGTGCCATTGTTTGTTCGCGCTTGCTTCAGGAAGCCGTTTTTGGGTATGGCACGGCATGGCATGCAGGAACGATATAGAGATATTTTACTTACATACATTACATACTTCACCTACTTACTCATGATACCACAAAAGTTCGCTTCGGCATGAATTGATGAACTGTTATTGATTATGATTATCATTCGTTGATGAGTGGTTCGACAAATAGATAGATAGATGGATACAGTCGCCTTGAATTTAGTACCTGATTTGTCTTGACTTGAGTGGTGCAACTGGTCTCGTCTATTCAGTTTACTTCCTAAACTAAGCATGTTATACAGTACAATAATCAGTAATCTAGTTACGATACTATAAATCGCAATGAGGAGACACTTTTGTTCTTCATTCACGAACATCGATAGTATCTGTCAGGAAGGCATGTCACGCATCCATCGGCACGTGCAACCTATGCCAATAGCTTTAGTTATGAGAGAGCAGGACAGGACAAGAAAGACAGGCAAGCCAAGGACACAATATATCTTTGCACAAAGAAAAAAAAGTACAAACCGCAAGCAAGTATACGACGGCACAGCATCCATCTACCTATGGGACCAGCCAACGGAGTAAGGGTAGGGAACACCAGTTATAAAGTCTGCCCAATTAACTAATCCACCAAGAACAAAGCGAATGGATGAATGAACAGATCGGAAGCAAAACAGAGAAAACAATGATATTGTTGCTGGGAATAGAAGAGAATAGAATAGAATAAGTCTAAGAGAAATCCTCGCCCTGCTCCTCGATACTGTTCTTGATCCGCAACAGAAGAGTCGTCTTCCACTTGTCCAACTTGCTGAGCTGGTCGAATTGGAATAGCTTGTCGGCGAATGCTTCCTGGTCGCCGGCTTCGATGGTCTGGACCAGGTCAACGAGGAGCTGGTGCTCCCTTGTCGAGGCAAAGGTGGTGTCGATGTCGCGGTAGTTCTCGAGGGCTCGGTTGGCAGCAACCAGGTCCTATGTGGGGTTAGCTATATCTGAAAGGTTTAGAGGAGAGGGACAACCGTACATTGGTCGCCAAGTGGCAGATACCAGCCTTGAGGAAGTAGTCCTTGACGGACCACTTCATCAGGTTGTTGTTGATCGATGAGCGGCCGATCCGCTCGTAGTGCTCAATAGCCTTGTAGTAGTCGCCTTCGAGAGCGGCCAGGTCTGCTGCCTTCAGGTAGTGCTTGTTGGCAAGACTGGAGAACAACACATTAGTATAGAATTGTATATGAGAAGGCCGAGAAATGGACGTACGCTTCAGCATTGTCACCGTCGAACCACTCCGCCGCTTTCTCGTAGGCTTCCAGCGCCTTCTTCGTATCTCCAAGCTCCACCTCGTACACCTCAGCCAGATGTTGCTGTTGCGTGGCCGCGCGCCGGAGATTACCCTTTAGCACGTAGTGTTGAATAGCACTGGAGAGCACGCGAGCGGCGTCCTCGGGGTCGGATTTGCGGTAGACCTTGAAAGCTTCGGTCAGGGTGTTTGCTGCATCATCGGGCTCGTTGAGGTTCTGGGTCTGAATAGAGGCAGCCTTTTCGAAGGCAAGACCGGCCTCCTTGTCTGATCGTTTGGCGATGGGTTAGAGCTCGGTGATCTGAGACAGGGGAGAGAATCACTGGCTTACTCTGCTTTTGCACTCGGAAGGCGTTCGCAGCTTGTGTGTAGAGATCAGCTGCATTCTCGTACTTCTCTGTCCTTCCACCGAAGAAGCTGAAGCCACCAGATGCGCTGCTGAGCGCTTTGTCGGCCTAATGTACGTCATGGGGGTTAGCGATCGTCGTATTCCAAGCATAGCGATGATGGACAGCGGGGTTCGGGGGGAATACCCGTTGGAGCAGAACTCGGGGATCTTGGGCCATTTTGTGAAGAGGTTGTCGGCCCGAGAAGGTGAAGAGGAGCGTGATGCTAGAGGTCAGATTACAGGCAAGGAGAAGTGGGGATGAATGTCTGGAAGATGAGGAGAAACGATGGGAGGATGGATCTAGTTTACTGGGCAGCCTCGCGGAATGGCGAGCTCCCCGCCGCTCCGTCAACGTAGGCGGTGGCCACTTTCCGCCCGGACCATTGGACGTGCTTCTTTTCTTGCTTCTCTGTTAGTATTTCAATAGCATCTTGACTGTCGCAAACGGAAACAATTCCTTCAATTGTTCGTTCCCTTTATTTTTTTAATCTATTGAAGTATATATTTCTGCATCTGCTAGAATTTCCTCAACCATGTTCTTCCGTGCAGCTCTCCCCCGACTGTCTGCGTTGATCGGCCGTCAACCTTTACGGTGCAGCACCGCCAGGCGCATGTACTCTGCCTCCCAATCAGGCGACGCAGACATTGACGCCATGCTTGCGAAGCCTACGTGGTCTGTTCGCTCGTTGCTACCAGAAGAATCCGCCAAACCATCTGCTCCATCAGTGACACCGGCGCAACTCCGCCATCTGCTCCGTCTCTCGGCTCTCCCACAACCCGCAAACGAGGAAGAAGAGAAGAAGATGCTTGAAACGCTCGAATCCCAGATTCACTTTGTGAAGCAGGTCCAGCGCATCGATGCCACTGGCGTGGAGCCTCTGCAGAGCATCCGGGACGAAAGTCCAGAAGCGGTGCAGGAGAATACAATTGGACTGGAAAAGCTGAGAGAGGCCTTGTCCAAGGAGAGAGTGGTCGGTCGAAACAAGAGAATCCAGCGAGTGGAGAGTCCGAGGAACGAGCGGCCCGATGGGGATACTTGGGATGGAAACGCGCTTGCCTACGCGTCCAAGACCAAGGGGAAGTTCTTCATTGTCGATACAGGAAAGTCAACGTGAGCTAAGCTGTCCTGAAGTTGGGTTCAGCCTGTCTGATCGAACCCATTCCACTGTTGCACGCTGATGGTCTGGGCGCTGAGTCAGCCATGATCTCATTGCCAATGCTGAAACCGACAACCTCCTTATTCTCTGTGCAACCTGTGAAGTCCCTCCACGAACCATCTGTAGCGGAGACGGAAGGCTAGTCAAAATAATTCATTCTGGAACGTGACTCTGTGGCCATCTGCACATATGTGGAAGTCATTCAAGGAAAAGCATGCTAGCAAGTTCGGATCCGGGCCCTCGCCGTCGCCCACTCCGCCGAAGAGCGACCGCGACCAAGACTTGACCACCATCTTGGATCGCCCTCAGCGAGCCGACCTGACAGTTCTTGTCGCGGAAATCACCCAACACATGCGAGATGCGATCGTTCAGAACTTCCACGGCCCAATCTCGAAGGAGGATGACCCCTCACGTGACCAAGCAGCACATGAACAGGACAAAGACACCGATCCCCTGTCTGTTCAGTCGGATGGGCAGAGTGAGGAAACCGCAGCTGTGACTACTACTACTCAGTCTGAATACAAGCCCACCGCGCAAGATCTCAAATCAGAGGCCAAGTCTCTGATCAGCTTTGATGATTGGAGAGACTCGGTCCTACTGAGGATTGGTGAAGTTGTGAACCGAGATGAGGAATCCGAAGAAGACCCCAGTGAATCAGACCCACCTCAACAATTGCATGAGCCGGAAATAGACGAGGACCAAGGTTCTCTGGAGAAGCAACGTGAAGTGTACCGACCTGTTGAGACCCCTCTTACGCAGCTACCCAAGGCTAAAAGACTACTGATTCTTCACTCGCTACTGCTTCTAATGCTTAGTCTTGAGCACTATAACGCTCGCTCACGAGTTCTAATGCTGTATGTAGCGTCAAGTCTGAATCTCGATGTCACTATCCTCAATGGCGACGAGAGCAAGGTCGCACGTGGATTGCTTGACACTGCTCTTCAGCTTGCGAACGCCGAAGAAGGCCAAGAAAAGAAACGTGACTCCTCCAGGAAATGGAAGGTTGGCATAGCTTCTGTGGCAGGAGCTGCACTGATCGGCATCACTGGCGGACTTGCTGCGCCGCTGGTTGCAGCTGGCCTTGGCACAGTCTTGGGAGGCCTAGGCCTGGGTGCTACGGCTGCTGCAGGGTATCTAGGTGCCCTTGCAGGTAGCGGAGTAATCGTGGGTGGTCTTTTCGGTGCCTACGGGGGTCGGATGACGGGGCGCATGGTCGACAAGTATGCCCGTGAGGTGGACGATTTTGCTTTCCTACCTATTCGGGGCTCTCGACAAAGGTCTGAAGAAGAAAGGGAAGCAGCTCAGAATGATCACATGCTCCGAGTCACGATCGGTATTACCGGCTGGGTCACTGAAGAGGACAACTTTGTTGTCCCCTGGCGAGTCATTGGAGCCGATTCCGAGGTTTTCGGCCTGCGCTGGGAAACAGAGCCTTTGATGAAGCTTGGAAACGCTATGAACCTATTGGTTACAAGCGCTGCCTGGGCAGCGGGTGGGCAGGTGCTTTCCCGGACCATCTTCGCGCAGATCATGAGCGCCGTGATGCTTCCTCTTGGTCTTCTCAAGGTTGCCCGTGTGGCTGATAACCCGTTCAGCATTGCCAAAGCCCGAGCAGACAAAGCGGGCGAGGTCCTTGCGGATGCGCTGATGAGCAAGGTTCAGGGTGAGCGGGCCGTCACACTGATAGGCTACTCGATGGGCTCTCGTGTCATCTTCTCCTGCCTGCAAAGCCTGGCGAAGCGGGGCGCTTACGACCTGGTGGAATCGGCAATCCTAATGGGGTCACCTACTCCGTCCAATGCGTCACACTGGCGTCGTCTCCGGAGCGTTGTTAGCGGTCGGCTGATCAACGTGTACTCGGAGAATGACGCCGTCCTCGCTCTTCTCTACCGGACCAGCAGTCTGCAACTCGGCGTGGCAGGTCTCCAGCCTGTTCAGGACGTGCCCGGCGTTGAGAATCTGGACGTTAGCGAGACCGTCAGCGGCCACTTGCGCTATCAGTTTCTCATCGGGCGCATTTTGGGTCTTGTTGGCCTGCAGAGCGTAGATGCCAAGGAGGTGGCTCGGGAGGAGGCCGCATTGGCAGTGAAGGACAAAAAGCAAGAGCAGGAACGGATCCAAAACGAGCGTCGCGCAGGGGTAAAGGGCGACGAGTCGGCACAGCAAGTGTTGGACAACGGTGATGGAACCGACGAGGAAGCAATGCATGCTGAGGTTGAACAGGAGACGAGGGATCGACTTTCGCGCATGGAGGTGTCCGAAGGAAGCGAAGACCAACCAGCCCGATCTGAATTCAAGATCAAGAGACGCCCACTTCCATCAGAGCAGAGCTAGATGTTTATACCATGATGAATCAATATTAGTGGCATACTCTTGCAATGTACTCTCTCACCATACACCTTGTTGACACAATCGAATAACTGTCCTGCAAAACTCTGGTGTAATTTCGCATGACCCCTGTCTTTAGTTGTCTTGATGTTCGCGATCGAGATAACGGCGAAACCACGCTCGCCGACCGTTGCGACACGCGGGATCAATAACTAGCCATACTATGCTTACTTCTAGCCTGGCTGCAAGACATGCATAAGCGCAGCGGTCCGATCGCTGCAAAGTGCAAAAAGACTTTCGTCAATAGTATTAGATAGCGACGATCTCAACGTCAACTAGTGAACGTAGTTGAAGCCATTAACGGTTTCCCTGAATATAAGTAATTCTTTTTTCTTCGGGTAACTAACCTATTACACACTCTTTCATTACCCCTGAGTACTATATTCCCACCCCCTATTGCTTTTATAGTAGTACAGAAGAGAAGAGATGAACAATACGGAGAACGATGGGAATGATAAGAAAGGATAAGCGCAATAATTGAGCTCGTCATCAACCATATGGCGCGTATTGGATGTTTTTCATCCCCGCAGATCAACAGAAAATAGATGTATGTAGATGATTAGTGTGAATCCGTCCAACGCTTTAAATAATTGCAGCCACCAATAGTATACGGATGACACTTAGATTTCCAGCAAGGCAATAGGTATACTACTGATGTTGCTAGCGAACTAGAAGTAAGTTATTAGTTGCTTCATATCTCATTGCTTCTATATTGGCTAAAATTGAATCCTGTAATAGCTAGATACATAAATAGCTTGATGGCTTAGAATAGGCACTGCCAACGTAGATTGATGCTATTAATCAAATTGCTGTCTCCCAAGTACTACTGGTACATACTAGACTACCTACCTATCCATTATGTAATGTATAAGGAGTAACAATATTTCTTTTCTGGATCTAGTACCCCTCACTCATTCCTAGGCTCCAATATAACATTATATCCATACTAAGATATTATCTACTAATATGCTATTAGTAAAGTCAACTTGAACCAGTACTAGTAAACAAAGGGTACTTTTGTCCACTTACTAAACAGAGCAAGACAACCCCCAGGCCCCAATTTCAACGGCGCAAAACAATTAATATAAGAAAGGGTGGAGTCATCCAAGACACCAACACCTGTCAAGTGTCAAAAGTACTACTTCATTAGTAGTGAGTTGTCATATATAGTAGTATCTATGGCGGGGAGAGACAAAGCGGGTAAGTACTAAGTAGTAGTAGTCTAAGTGGAGTTGGTCGGAGGAACTTGGTTGTCTCACTTTGATGAGGGGGTTGAATATAGTAATGTTGTGTGACGTTTTTAATATGTAGAACCGTTGGTGCCTATTTTAGGGAGAAAAAAAAAAGGTACTTTGTGTTTCTTGTGTAATGATTATTATATGTCAATTGTTATTGATGGAAAATCTTTTATTATGGTGTTGGCTTGTTGTATACCGAGTACCTTCTGTAAATTGCTTTGTAGCTGAGTTCTAATGGAGTTCATAGCACATAATCGGACAGAATTAAAGGATTCATGGGAGTATGTGATAAAGTAAGTGATAGAACTGAAGATTGTAGCAGACAAAATGGATACTGGTGTATCTACATAGGGTGCTAGAGGCAAAGTTGTAGTTTGGTACATTTTTCTTGGTATACTCGGGGCATGACTCGCTTCAGGTTCTTGGTAGTAGAGCTTGTTGCTTATGCCCAGGGAGGGCACAAAGCTTGGTTGGACGTTGCTGTGCTAAGACTCCTGTCATGGAGTATATGGGGATAATGGCTTGGGTGTCAAAGCTGTAATTGGGCTGGAGGTTAAGAGGGGATGTTGGAGAGTTCGATATAATGTACAGAGAACTAGTTACTAGTTTAGGGCTGTCCATGGTGATAGCTAAGTATGCATGCCGTGTTGCACACTGCTATAACAACTAGTCAAAAGTACTACTACAAGGCTGAATATAGCGACTACTCTGTATACAAGGCAGAATGATCGACAACACCACAAGTACGACTCCTCCCACCAATAGCTAGAAAACAAAGTAGACCACCATAGTAGAGTGTGTTATAGTGTCCTGCAAGTAAACCATATACTTCGAGGTTTTAGACAGTCAACCGTTAGCGGATACATATCACGCTTAGGTTACATCCCGTCTATTTACTAACTTAGGTGCTTATGGTGCCCATAATATTCATTCTAAAGGTACCAAGTACAAAGTCCATTACGTTAACAGTCTACAACGCTACTCTCAATATACACTCTTCTCTTTACAAGACTAACTACTTACACCACCTCAATAACACATGCAAACATCCTAACTACTCCATATACTCCGTCCAAACAAACCACGAAAGAACAAACCAAGAACAAATCCCAATACAAACCAAATCACTAGTCCCCAACTACCATCTAAAGAGCTAGCAGCTTACCCCTTTAGCACCCGCTCTCCAAATCCCCGATATCCCGAACCTAACCTACTTTAGTTCCCCCCTCTCTAGTCTAGCTCCCTCTACTATTTACTAGTTTGTAGTCTCTGTCTAAAAATCAGGAGCATTTAAAATAAATCAGCCTTGGCATGCATGCAACACCCCCGTCGGGGAGAAGGAAAAATCCCACGGGGGGAAATGGAGGACGGAGAGAGTTCCCGGTGACCTCGGGATGATCTTTGACGTTCATCATTTCCATCTAATCCAATTCGAAGGAATTGGATTAGAAATAAGTTAGTAGAGTAATAGTGAAAGTACTGTAGTAGACTAGTTACTGGTGGAGATAGCTGCCTGCATATACTAACTACTAAGGAATTGCTCGGTTGTGTTGTGTGGCTTGCGTTAGGTAGATTGTTATGGGGAATGGGTTATATTGACCCGGTGGGGATTTAGTTTTGGGGGCGTAGTTGCAAGAAGGATTAAGCGCGAGGGCGCGGACATGGCGGGAGGGATAAGTTCCCAAGTCGCTTAATATTGCTGTTGTGGCGTTAGTTCTGATAATTGTTCGTTTATTTTTACTGTGTTGTTGGATGTTGGTGATAAGTACATATGTAGAAGTTGGTAGTAATCATGTAAAGATAATTGTGGTGTGGCAGTGTTGTAATTAATAGTAAAAGGTGGTGGTCATCTCTCCCACAGTGGCGAATGACCGAACGACAGTATCATACTACTTTAGGCAGGCTGTTAGTATAGTCAACCTAGTCTTACTAGTGTTTTCAACTGTGCAGGAAAAAAAAAGCAATTTCTCCTGCATGGAAATATTCTAGCCAAACCCAAATACAAAAAGTAAATACTACAATCTTTCCTAGTAATAAACTTCCAACATTATTCCATCCATCCCCTGTGTCGGGTTCTCAGGGTTTCCGGCCGACTGTGTCTCTACAAAGTACTTAGTCTACGTACGGATTCTATCTCCAACAATATTTTCCTTTTCGGCTAAAGGAGCAGCAAACTTACCCAGTACCACTCGTACAAAGCGGCATGTCCCTCCCACTCAACCAAAGTTCCAGCATCCTCCTTCCAACTGCGGAGATGGAAACCAAAAAAAATGTCTGGACCATCCATCCATCAACCCATTAGGAGTATGACGGAACAATCCGAAGGTTCCTAGGAGGAGCGAGCCCTGGTCGGGAGGAAAGTGACTAACACCGAAACAGAAATTGCTCCATTGGGCAACTCGGGAAAAGCGGACCTGGGGCCGAACATAACTCCTTCCACAGGCTGGTACTCGCACGAGAAGAAGGAGGGAAAAAAACAAATTAGCAGTCTCGCGTGGGTATGAAGCTAAGAAACCTTAGCTACGCGATCCGATGCTGTGGAGACTACCTTTCCCCCAAACCGGCTCGCTCAAGCTTCGATCTAAGTGGGGATGGTAGGCGCTGATCTTTATGCTGGAGGCGCGTGAGAGGTGCTGATTGGCTGGAGGAAGGGCTTCACGGACGCTTCGTATTGTGTGGTGGATGCTACGCGTATTTGGCTGAAATTGAGGGTAATTATTCGTCGGACTAGTTCATGTCAATCTTTTAGGGGAGCTGAGGATTTTCGTCAAGATGAAATTAGTGATTATCTTCAATTAGTATAGTATGTATATACTTAGATATGATGAGTTGTCATGGGGTCTCTCGTAATAGGGATCGTTGCATAGTGTATGGAAATATGAAAAAGGAAAGGAAAAAAGAGAAGGAGAGAAGAAAGGTATCAGAAAGAATGTAACGTGGTAATGAAATCGCACAGCCATCCGCCCGATTTGCTGAATCTCCACCATCAACAATCACCCGCTGTGGCGACCTCCCTTCTGAAAGTCTTCCGGTTCCGCAGGCTCGTGCGAAATCTCGATCGTCGTCTCCTGGTACACTCCGTGGCCCAACTCGGCCAGCTCCATGTCCGTCTTGCGCACAATATCGTCTGTAGATGAATCGCGGTCGTCTCGGACCGTGTCGTTGATGCTCTGCATCCCCATGCCCCGCCGGAATCGGGATCCCATCCGCACTTTCTTGCCATCCCGACCCGTGGTGATGTGTGTCTGGTATGCGTTTGATTCCGTGTAGTTGTACATCCGATCCGTAGTACTGAGTTCGGTTTCGAGCAACAGGTGGCGGCGAGTGAGCGTGTACACAAGCACATCGACGAAACCCGACAACGCCATCAGCGAACCAGCAACGGCAAAGTATGCGCGACTGGGGACGATATGACGTGCCGTTGACATGCGTCCGGCGGCTAACGGCAGGGATAGCAATAGATAGACAAGCGGGTAGATAACCATGTAAATGACAACCCGGTTCAATCTCTTCAGGTTCTCCTGGTGGTTCTGCCGGAGCGTGGCGGATTGTTTCATTCGGCGTCGCAGGTAGAAGAACATGAGACCGTAAAGAACGACCGTGCCGAATTCTGCCAGGAAAATCCATAGATAATGCACCCAAAGACGTTCTGTTTCGTGGTCGGGACCGATCCAGCACTGCAAGGCAGGGTGAATTAGTGACCTTTGTCCATCTGTATCTCATCTTTGCGGTCGCTTACCCAGCCAGCTTCGGAAATCACAAACGTCTCGGAGCCAAACATTCCAACAGGAATCAATCCTAGAATAATGATAAATAGCCACAGCCCAACAACACCACCCACAAAGATCGGGAACGGTAATTGTCGGCCTCGTAGCACAACGGCACAGGTGTGAAGGGCAATCGCCAGAACGAACAACCCACTGCCGGGATCGCCCGTTTGAATCCACCATCCTTGAAGAACGCAGGGTGCACTGGGGTAGTAAACATGACCCTTTGCTACCCAGTGGAGACATATCAAGAAAGCCGTTGCTTGTTGCAGATCGACCAAAAGGAGGTTGTAAATGAGAACGATATACTGATTCTCCGCCAAAGGTCGTTTGTAGTATTTGCGCCAGAAAATGAAACGGTAGGTAAGGAATGACAAAAGGCCAAAGGCCGCAATGAACGAAAAGAGTGCAATCACACCCATGGCAATGAACCCTGCTCGATCGCTACCCTCAACTACCTGGGTTGTTGAGCGACTAGCGAGGTGCGTGTGGCCAGCACCATCGCTGGCTAGCAGCCGTGACAATCGTAGTAGAGCGAGCATTGTTCATCACCCTGAACTGTAGTTTCGAGGGGAAGAATGTCCAAGGGTCCAAGCGAGGCTCGGAAACGAGTGACAGGCGGCGTGCGTCTTATATCCTACCATATAGAAGTAAAGGTTGGAGCATGTCTTGCGGACCAGAAAATGGGTTCCTATGGATCAAAAAGTCTGGGCAAGGTCCCGGCCCCATAAAGGCTTTTTGCAGTATTTTTTCTTTTACCCGTTCTTGTTATTCAAGTTTGCTGTCCCGCATGAGAAAAAAAAAATAAGATTTGGTTAAGGGGCCACAGATCGCTAGATAATCTTCGGGAGGAGTGCGAATGAGCAAGGATGGCCAGTTTTAGTGAGTAGTAGCGTGTGCCGGAAAGGGACCGAAGCTCGCATAGTGAATGTTTTAGTGGGATATAGTCCGCACGGTCTCTACACCAGACCCACCTCTGGGTCATGGTATTCTCCACCGTGCATCCAACAGTGACTCAAGAAAGTGGTCGAACGTTCCCACCTTAGTGTGCAATTGCCGATCTCCCAATGGTCTGGGAAGGAAAGGGGTGATTGTGCTTAGATCGTTGACCTGAGAGCCTCCATGCCATGTGGATCAACCATCGGATTCTGCTCCCCGGCGTTTACGGGGTAAACACCTTGGTGCAATGTGGCGACACACAATTGAGGATTATTGGAGGTAGGTGGTGCAAATGTACACAACAGAATTATCCTGAGTGAACTATTTCGGCCCGGTATAATGCATCCGCCACTTCGGGAGTGACAGACTCCCCTAACGTTTGCCTGCAGTCGAGCTAGACTAAGGGGCGGAAGTATTCTTTTGCAGAGTCGCCTGCAGTAAACGGTGATGATCTGCAAGCGTCTTATTAAGCAGTGTTGAGGGGGCCCCTGGTGCTTCCTGGGCCATCTCGGTGTCGCGCAGACCAGGGAAGTGGTAGATGATCTCCGAACTACGATCTTTAATCAGACGGAAAGAACCTTCCGACGCGGAGGCCTTCACCGAGCACTATGAGAAAAAAAAATGAACGCAGCCCTGATTGGATATTCCAGAACCAAAGAATATCGGATCAACAGTGCGTCGACTCGAGCGCTGAGGCGGCACACGGTAGAGTTAGCGTGACGGCGCGTCGAAAGAAAGTTATCGAGATCCAGAAAGCTGGGACCAATAAACCCAGCGGTAAAGACTTGGGAACCATGTGCCTTCCTTTACAGGAAGGGATGTCGTGCTTTGTGGAGTTTCCAATTGCACATAAACCGTAGAGAATCAGTGAAGTTGTGCAACTGTGGAAGATGAGGAAGCTGGCATGGAAGTTAAAGCATGGAGGAAGAGAAGTCGAGCATTGACTCCTTTTGGAAGTCACCTGAGCAGTAATGAGCCTCATCACCATTCAGCTTCTGATTATTACTTCCAGCCTCGCTCGCACATTATTGCTGGTAATAGCAACAATCACAAGCTTACGAATGGTCCTTCATCTCCACCTCCCGCTCTTCGGTACCAATTGTTCAGCTTGGCTCCATAGTTGCAATATTGCCCTCCAGTTATTCGCACCCACCTAGAAGTTTATCAGGAAGATGATTTTCGGAGCATGGACACACCTTGAGCTGTTCCTGGCTAAATCAAGATCTCCACGGCACTGATTGAAGAACGGCCGAGAAAAAGAAATAATCTGCAGCTGTACCCCGTTGCTGGGTGAAGATTTTCAGGAGAGAACGAGCATTGGGTAAGAGTGGCCGAAAGCTTATTCTTGTCGATTCATGTTGCTAAGATGCCGATCCCATAGATTCGATATGACTTAGTGATTCGAACCAAGGACAGCAGCGGGGTATAGCTGAATGGGCACGCTAATCTGATGAGCTCATTCAAGGCCTTTCGACGGTTCTGGAATGGCCGTGCTGCAAAGGCTGATGGAAGGTACTGTCCGGCCAACTCCTAGCACAATCTTAGAACCATGGTTCGTGCACAATGGTACCTCTCACCATGGTAGTATCTATAAACTACTATGCTTGAATTGACCTTCCGTCTGAGACATCGTAGGTATTCGGGCCTGGCATCTGAACGCAAACACTGAGGGACTGTATGCGGTAGTCGTCAGGGATCTACATCAGTCACTTGGGATCTGCCGTTGACTTGGTACGACTTGGGTAAGTTGGCAGCTTTCATCATTCGGCCATGCGGATGAGTCGCCCAATTGCTGTCTCGGCCCATGAAAGCATCGAAAGGAACTTAAACACTCGTGGCTGAGACCTCGTCGTATCGGCAAGAGCTTTGTTGAATATTAGCCGAGAGCGGCCTCATAAGGTCTTAGTCTCAAATTAATACTAAATGTTTAGACCTTAGCCTCGCCCAAGCAACGGAACGTGTGTCTATTCTTCCACTTCGAGAAAGCATTAGCCAACCTGTGTATACATACCGGAAAGCTCACAGGCCTGTGTTCCGATTTTCGGATCCGGAAGGATTGATCGACAACAAGCTACTCTTGACTCCAGGGCTAGACATTCTTTCTGGGAGCCTCTCTGTCTTGGCATACGAATGCCCCATTTAATGCGCGTGGTTCGTGAACCTTCTATTTCATTAGTAGTTGGAGAAGGTCTGATTTTAGAACATTGTAGCCAGTTCGGATGCTGCAGGGTTCCAAGCAACGCTCGCATATGCTGGAAGCCACATTTCACATATTTCGAACGCACCGGATGCTGGTTTTCGCTAATGCCCGATAGGGAACTTCGGCTGGTGGCCGGTAAACTGCGGGCTTCAAAATGCGTCGCTTGGCGGGCTGTTGCATGACCCCGACGTGTCCGAGGCATAGTCGTGCCACTTGGGTACTATGAATAGGACCTTTGTCTTTGAACCGACTATCTGCACAGGACAAGTCACCCGTCTCCTCCCAGCCGGAGGTCCCGGACAGATGACAAGGCTCTAAGGCTGTATGTCTCATTCAGGGTCTAGCCGTGCCATCTCTTATTGGCTCGGACGCTTCACGGCGCGAATACTGCGCCCCCGCATGTCTCTCTCCGCTCGCTATCGATGCAGTGTTGCCCGCCATTGATGGGAGGAATGTCTCACTTCGGGCTTGTGCTTCGCAGATCTATACCCCTCAATGGCCTCGTATAGCAAACAGATGTGATGTCAGTGACTATGTTTCTATTCAGGGCATCAGGCCTCCCGTTTCTATGCCACAGTATGGAGCCTTGGCCGCCTTGGGTAGGCAAGGCCTCCCGGGAATACTCATTGCCATTTCACCGCTACTGCAACTTCAAGTGAAGAGAAAGAGGGGAAAGAAAAGATATAAGTAGCTTGACAAACCCCAGAGATTCTCCTCTTCATCCCAGATCAAGCATCTATTCTACACTCAAGAACAAACCACTACTACCATACACAATCTCATCCATATCTCACTAGTATCATATCACCACCACTCATCTACCACAATGAAGACCTTCACCACCATCACATCTCTCCTCGCTCTCTGCTCCTCGGCCCTGGCCGCACCAGTGGAAGCTGCTGAAGCGGCTGGCACCACAGTTTCTGTCTCCTACGACACTGTCTACGATGTCTCTGGAACTTCATTGACCACCGTCTCCTGCTCGGACGGTACCAATGGCATGATCAGCAAGGGCTACACCACCTTCGGCTCTCTTCCGGGCTTCCCCAGAATCGGAGGCGCTCCTACTATTCCAGGCTGGAACTCTCCCAACTGCGGCAAATGCTACGCCTTGACGTACAACGGCCAGACAGTCAACATTTTGGCCATTGACGCCGCACCTGGTGGCTTCAACATCGGCCTGGATGCCATGAACCAACTCACTGGCAACCAGGCCCAGAACCTGGGTCGTATTGACGCTACCTACACCGAGGTGGATGTCAGCCAGTGCAAATGAACGCCAAATTATTGAGCATTGTGCTTGGGAGATGATATCGGGTATTGCGGGGATTGGCTACGATGGGATATGATTTCGGGGTTACGATTGATACGCTTTTTTGGGATACTTTCCTTTATCTTACCTACTGTTAATAACATAATACGGAGCGTCAGCATACGTACATACATACATGTCAACATAGTGATCGATGAGCATAACTACAGAAGTTTCTGTAATTGAATTGAGAGATTCTAAGGTCATTTCTACTGTACATCATTGTCTATATATACACACGTTCATGCTACAACATCACCCCAATACCTCAAGCATCTCCTCCACCCTCCCAAACTTATCCCGAATTTTACCCTTCTCCTGTCCACGCTCCCGTTCTGCACGATCAATGCGTTCCCAGTCCGCCCACGACGTAGCCCTCAAACCCCGCTTCTCAGCTTCAGGACGGACACCCTCCCAACCAAGTCCAGAGCTATAACCCGGCGAGTTCAACAATGACGCTTTACCATCCTGACCAGCCACATCAGCAGCAATAGCATCAGCCGTACTAAACGCATCCATCATCGTCGTAGCAATGACGCCTGTAGGGCCACGCTTGACCCAGCCAGCGCAGTAAAGACCCGGCAGATGCGAGATCAATGATCCGTCGGGGAGCTGTTCCTTGTCGCCGGTGTTGGCTGGGGTGGTAATTCTCCCGAAGCCGTCGTTGGGAATCACCCCGCGGCGTTCGTCGAACTGGATACCTAGGTCTTCTAGTCCGGGTAGTGGAAGGGACTTATAGCCGACACTGCGGAAGAAGGTGTTGGCGGGGATGTTGACCTCTGCGCGCTTGCCGCTGGATAGGTACTTGGGTGTCACTTTGGCGCTGGGGAGGAAGGGATCGGAGGGGTCGAGCTCGTTGCGGGCGAATCTTACGTGGGAGAGGCGGTAGGGGTGGACGGGGGACCAATGTAGACATTCGGGAGAGAGGAGGAAGTCAAGGGACCAGGATTTGGCGGAGGTGGTGGGGTCGTTGGTTGATCCTTTTGCGAGGAGTTGGATGAGTCGTTTCTGGGCTCTTGGAAGAGCGGTCATGACGTCTTCCGGGGGAAAGAGATTCTTCGGGACTGGGTCGAATGCTACACCTGGTAGTTGGAGCAGTTCGCGGAGTTCTTTGATGGTGAATGCAGCCTGAAGCCGGAGATATGTAAGCATGTGATAGGAGTAGTACTCGGGTCAATAACCCGTACCTGCATCGGTCCTCTGCGGCCAACTACCCGGACACGCTTGACTTTACTCTTTGACAGCTCCTCAATAGCATATTCGGCAATATCCGTCTTCCGCAGGGTATTCACATCCGACAACAAGATTCTGGCCACATCCAGGGCCACGTTTCCTTGTCCGATGATCACGGCGTCTTCACCGGCAGTCAGGTCCGGGGCAAGATCACGGTGTTCCGGAAGGCCATTGTACCACCCGACAAATTCCCGAGCCGAGTAGACGTTGCGGATTGCCTTTTCACCAGGTATTCCCAGTTCCTTGTCCTTCGGGGCACCGTATGCGAACAGGATGGCATCGTAGTGTGGCTTGAGAGAGCTGAGGGGGAGGGTTTCGCCTAGTTCAACATTGCCGATGAAGTTGAAGCGCGGAGATGCTGCGACTTCGGTGAACTTCTCTTCGCAATTCTAGAGGCCGGATAGTGTGAGCTTGATTGTCCACGTCTTCTGACTCATAGCATAGCGGTCTTACCTTGACTTCTGGGTGATCAGGGGCAACACCGTATCGCGCAAGACCAAATGGCACCGGAAGCTTCTCGTACATGTCTACCGAGGCATTGTCTACCTTGGAGAGGAGTCGATAAGCCGCATAGAAGCCTGCCGGGCCTGACCCTACCACGGCCACGCGGAAAGGCCGCTCATTCTGAATAACCTGGCTGTACTGACGCGATTGAGCTGTCAATCGTGAGAAGGTCTGGCGCTGAGAATGGCGCACAGACACGCGGGTAATCCGCGCCGTGCAATGGCCACATATATAGGGAGCACGCTGAACATTCATTGTGCAGCAAAACGAGGTGTGAGGAAAGAAGCAAAGCCGTCGGACCGGAGGAGAGAGTTAACTCCGAGGCGCGATGACATAAGAGGGTCCAACACGTGACTCTTATCAAGGCTGGTTGCCGCGCCGACAATCGCGTGTTGACGATCCTCCCGATCAACCCGTGGATGGAAAGCCAGTAGTCTCCGGCAGATGCACGGTGGATGAGTGCATGTGCTGCTGCTGCTTTCTTGCTGTCGCTGCTGCTTCGTCTCCATCTTCTGTCACTCCACCCGTCCCACGGTTCGTACCTCTCTTTCCGTGGTATCTGTCACCACAGAACCGTCCGGCTATCTATATCTAGATAGCTGTCTAATCCGACATTCTTTCTTTAAGCTTAACAACTCGTCTGTGCACATTCCTTTCCCCCGCTCGTCGCGTGGGTCAAGCCTTCGATATTAGATTGAGGCTTTCACCATAGCGATCATGGGCGACAATCACGACTCTTCATTCCTTTATGGTTACGCTTCGTCCAACCGGTTCTACGGTTCGCCCGAGCCTCCCTTCAACCCGAAGGCTGTGACACAAGCGAGCTGGACTCGACCGGAGCCAAAGCCTGAGTTAAAAGGACCATTGGTTGATCATGCCAATACCCTTCCTGATGTGGTATGTGCTTTGCGGCTTATTCACGAACCTCAATTGGACAACATTCGCGTACTAATAATCTATGCAAGCAATGCAACACGCCTAGCGCCAAACCGCGATGGACGCCAATGAGTCCAAAAACAAAGGGGCGCGTGGTCTATGGTCGCAAGGTGCAGCTTGGACTGCGCATACTCGCTCTTGCCGGAGCTATCGGATCCCTGTTCTGTTCGATCGTTATCAAGAATGCCGCAATAACCGTGATCTGGATTGTCAGAGTCGGGGTAAGTGATGCGGCCAGGTTATGTGACGTTGAGCTAGAACCTAACTCCCTTCAAGCCAGCTGTCGCAATACTGCACACTCTCTACGGCATATATACTTTGAGTCGCTCTTCGATCACAAGGCCTCCAGGGTCGCAGGCTAGCTACATGTTCTTTGCCGCAACATTCGATCTAGGCCTGATCCCCTTCTACGTTTTCGCAGCCTACCTAGGTTACGGGCAATATACCAACAACGCATACGACTGGACCACAATGCTAGGTTCTAATGTTGAGACTACAACCAAGATCGCAGAGACTACGTTCTTGCTGGGTATAATCAACGGTGCACTTCATGCGATATCCTTTGGAATCTCCATATTCTTGGGTACCATCTTCCGGAAGATCACCCGGCTACCCCCAGATATGAACCCGCTAGAAGACAACTTGACTGCACGTCCATTCTCACGGACCAAGTCCGAGATAATTGAAAAGCGTGCCAGCAAATCTACCTTGGGCTCGGACAATATTTCTAGTGAAGATCCACTGATCGGTGTTCCACGAAGTGTGCCTTTCATGGAGACTCGCAGTAATCCATCCTTCAACGACGACTATAGTCGATTCCCCCCTACTTTCACAGACAGAACGCCGCCGCAGCCTACTCGCTCTTTCCATCGCCCATCACGCATCGACACCATCCCACATCTACCTTTCCATCAGCCAAACGATATAGATGATGCTACAACTATCGCGTCGCCTATCGAGAACCCAGATATCTTTACCAGGGCAACTACATCAATTCCGCGTGGCGCGCCGGTTCGCGAGCCATCTCCCGATCTTCCCAACAGATCGCAATGTGTGAGCCCTGCCTCAGAGAATTGGATTGTCTATCCGTCTCGGTCTACAACTCCCGTGGAGGAGGCTAAAGACGAACACCCGGCTCCTCGCGACCCGTCCTCTGTATACAGCCGTGCCGAAACCCCAGCCTCATCAAAGGGCGGTGTTATGGATTGGTTCAGTCCACAGCGATATGGTTTGAATATAGGTGAAGCCATCAGCGAGAATAAGCGCGGGGAGTACGAGTCGGTTGCGGCGAATGAATACTATGGAAACGATGATGACGTTCATGACATTCTTTACCGAAGCGGATTTTACGATAATGCAGAGCAAGACCTTGGCGACCACCGGATTGACATCTTCCAAGACCACGAAGAGCTCGACGAAGACACGAGAAACTCCCTGAAGGTCAATCCATTGGCACTGAACCCGCCCTCTCCCCTGCCGAAGCCGGACATCGTCCAGAATCGCACACCAAGCAATGGGCGTATGGCCCTTACTGACATACCCAATCTTTCTCCCAAGCCTCCTGCCGACGAGCCGCTTCTTGATAGTCTGCAGAAGAAAGGAAGTTTCTATGGAGAACTCCCGGACCAATTCGGACTTGACACCCCACGAAAAGTCAGCCGCGACCAGTCGAAGCTCACTCCAAAGAATAACAAGCTCAGCATCAAGAAAAGCCAGAAGTTCAACGCCTACGGCGCACTTAAGCAGCATGACGATGGTGACCTCAATGGCCTTGGCATTCCCTCTGCAGACCCGGTGACTATCGACGGTGATCGCAAAGGTCGCGTCGTCAGTAACTCAGGAGCTGATGCCACCCACGCCAACTCTTCATTGTCGTATGGAAACTACATCGCCGGATTGGGAGTGGGAAGACGGCGGGACGTCAGCGGCAAGATTGCGGAAGAGGGCCGTGTCGAGACTACCAAACCAAAAAATGAGAACACAACCCCTATCCGAGCAGCCGGATGGGCTCGCTTTGCGGGTCTATAGCACTGATATGCTCGGAGTGGAACACGCATAAGAAAAAAGGAAAAAGCATCTACGACTATTTCAAGACGCGATGCGTCTTCTTTCATTGAATTTATGAGGCATATGGATATGGTTTGCACATGTTGGACATGAGGATCTTCTGACGATAACTGATGTGATTTTATGTTTGTTTTATTGGTGATACTCCCCACTGTTTTTACTGTAGACAATCACGTAGTAGCTTACTAGCAATACCATTCAAAGAATATTGCAATGTTTCATATTACTAGTATCTTATGATTTTTCCGAATTCGGAGACTATATACAGCTATAATACACAAACATACAATGAACAACCACAATACCAAACTACGAAGGCACCCCTTCATATTCCCATCCCTTGATCACCCTCTTATTCCTCCTCGAATTGCGCCGGTTGGCATTACATTTTACAAACAACGTCAAAGCAGCAATAATACAAATCACAATCCCAGTAATAGCAGCCACCAAGACCGTCCGTCTCTCCAGCTGCTGCGGATCCGACGCATACGGACACTCCTGATCAGGACCCCCCGTTACCCAACAAGACTCCACATCGATGCAATTCATATCTAACCAGACCTTGGTCCTGTTCGGAATTGCAGACGTTGGGTCGAGAACGTCCGTTCGTGTTAGCAGGTACTGGTACAGATAGGTGTTCTCGAGACCGGTGCGTGGAATGGCAAAGCTGGTGTTCTCGGGACAGCCGTGATCGTAGGCGTCTCGGAAGGTGTATGGCGCTGAGGATAATTGCCACGTGAAAGGGTTGTTTCCCACGCGACATGCGGCGTAGCGGACTTGGCTGCAGTTGATGGCACGCCAGTGGCCGCTGTTTGTTAGGTCTATGACGGCGCAGCGGTCTGTGGCGCTGAAGCTGGCGGAGGATGAGTCGGCGTTGGCGGGTTGGCCGACGGACCAGGCCCAGGAGCTGGAGAGGGAGATCTCTGTGTAGGGTTCGGGGTCGGTGTCGGCGGTTTTGTTGAAGAGGGTGTCGTTTAGTGTGGGGGTGAGGCCGCATGCGGTTAGGTTCGAGGCCACGAGGGACATTGCTGCGATTGTCTGGCTTAAGCCTTCTGGTATAGGGATGTAGTCGGATATGGCCCAGGAGTTGTTGGCCTGGGATACGGCGGTCGCGTCGGGATCATAGAAACAGCCAGTGTCGACGCTTCCGTCGGAGTCAAGAGATACGGATACCGTTGAAGTGAGATATTTGGAAGGAAAGATAACGTCACTCATGTAGGATAAGTTGTAGTCTTGTAGCTGGGAGTCGATGGTCCCGTAGTCAATGAGAAGGCGCTTCTCTTGTGCTAGTTGAAGGTACTTCACGCATGGCCAGCCATCAGGGGTACTTTGGTCGCCGTTGGGGTCCTCATAAATGGTGAAGTACTCGATAATGGGTTTGTAGCCGTCTTCGACCTGATACCATGATTGATTCAGGTTGGCGCGCTCGGAAGCGAGGGTTGACGGCGTGTATATGTAAGAAGACAGATGTTCATCGAAGAGATAGCTGACAGATTCGGAGCCTGTGGGAAGTTGCGATCCAGTCACAGTCGATGCTGCTTCGTCGGGACTAGTCGCGCTCCCAGCCGCATGCAGATTAAGAGAGATGTATCTCGTATACACGGTCAGCTCGGAGGTATACGCCTGGAAGAAACCCCAGAACACATTGATCAGGTCGGACAGGTCGAGATCCAAAGAACAGCGGTACGGACCCATTTCATACAGGACCGAACCCGACGATCTGGCTACCGCAGTGACAGTGGCTTTGGTTGTCTCGCTCGTTGTCGTTGTTGTAGTCGTTGCGGTCGTCGTTGCGGTTATTCCACTCGTCGCAGTTGTCGTTGTCGAAGAAGTAGGCGATATCGACGACACAGTCACAACGGGGACATCCGGGGAGAGCGACAGCGGGCAGAGCATCCAATCCCGTTGGTCAGACGACCAGTAAAGGTCGACGAGAAAGCGGCGGTATCCGATGACTAGTAAGTTGGAGATGCACTTGCCCGCTGCATCCCGGTCGTAGACATTGTCGCCAAAACATGCCGCGCGGAGTGATACGGCGGATGTGCTGACAAAGTTGATTGGAATCTGGCCAGCTACATCTCTTTCGCTCTGGAACATGTCAGTAAGCGGAATGAACCTACTGTATAAGCGCATTTGCGCATTATTGCGCGCAACTTACCAGGAAGACGGCCGCCTCCGTTGCATTCAAGGCGACATCTGAGGAGAAACTCAAGGACATGGGGCTGCGAACTGCAGGCAGCACACCGGAACTCGAATCACATTAGTCAAAAAGGAGTGGAGTCTGCGTGGAGTTGCCTGATATAGTGAATGGAGATGATGAACGTGAGGGGAGATGGATGCGCCGAGTGGGTGAATGGAAGCAGAACGGAGTGCGGAGAAGAAGGCGGTGGACGGCGACCGGGACCCTGACGGCGCAAGTGGAAGGGCAACTGGAACACCATCTGGCCTTTTCATCTCCCGCCAACTTCCTGCCATCTCATCCATCGCCCACCCGAAACGTCCACTCGGTTTCTGCAAGTCACTGCGCTGTGCGCTCTTGCATTTCTTTTCTTCCGGAACCCTTCTAGTTTTTATATATAAAAAACTACACACTCCTTCACCATGGCGGCGCCCGGCCAGCCGTCACCCCAGCAGATTGCGGCCATGCAACAGCAGTTCGCCGCCGAAGCTGCTAGGCGCGGAATGACCCCCGAGGAATTTGCCAAACAGCAGCGCGAACAGCTCACTGCAGAGGCAGCCAAGCACGGAATGACAACCGAACAATATGTCACTCAGTTGAGAATGCGAGCTCTTGCCGCTCACCAGAGACAAGTCGAGGCCCAACGACAAGCTGCTCAAGCCCAAGCGCAGGGCCAGCAGCCCCAAGCGCAAGGGCAAGCACCTCCTCAATCGCCAGCCCAACCAGGACAGAACCTGCCTGCACCTCCACAGCCCCAACCCCAGCAGGTGACCCGGCAGGTCCCTGTGAACCCTAACAACCCTCCTGATCCGAAGGCGCTCGCCGTTGCTGCGTTCCTGCGGTCGCAGAACCTAAAGACACGGACATGTATCATGGATGGGCAGCGGAAGGAGATGTTCAAAGGTATTTACTTTTTATTATCATATGTGCCTTGAAAATACTCATAAATACCAGTGAAACGTGCCATCCGCGCCATCGAGTCCCCAGCTTACGCCAAGGCGGCTGCCAAAAAGAACTCTCTTCTCCCTCCAGTCACCGACCGCGCATCAGCAGAGAACGTCTTCAAGCTTCTTCCCCTATCCCTTCTTGCTCTGCGCGTGACTAAGGTTGACCCCCATGCGGGCCACAACCACGGCAAGTCCAAGAACCGTGTCAAGGGACTGTGGACGGTGCGCATTGAGCAGCACCAAGAAACCGATCCTATGATGCACTATGTCTGGCTGTGGGAAGGTCCGCAGTGGAAGCAGAAGGTCATGGCCGCGGCTGTAGTAGCAGGAATCTTCGCAGTGGTGCTCTTCCCTCTGTGGCCAATGATGCTGCGCCAAGGTGTCTGGTACCTGAGTGTGGGCATGATGGGTCTGCTGGGATTGTTCTTCGCTATGTCCATTTTCCGTCTTATTCTGTTCTGCATCACAGTCATTGCGGTTCCCCCTGGTCTATGGCTGTTCCCCAACCTATTCGAAGATGTCGGATTCGTGGACAGTTTCAAGCCCCTGTGGGGCTGGCAAGAGGTAAGCTAACCTACCATGGCACCGCAGACAGAAACACACTCTCTAACCTTTATATTCAGACCAAGAAGAAAAAGTCCAAGAAGTCCAAGAACGCAGGAGGCGAGGAACCTCAAGCCGTAGCCCAATCCACTCCATCCGCCACCACAACAGCAACAGCAGCCCCGGATACTTCAAGCACTGTAAAGCGAGACCTTGCGCCGCGCGTGGAGGAAGTCACCGAAGAGTAATCGATGTACCTTGATCCTATACAATTGACTGCGGAAATCCATTGAACCTTCATCCTACGCATGTGGGAGATACAACCTTTCATGGTAATCTCTTGCTTCTAATCATATCCCATCTTATCCTTTCATTTCTGTACGGTAACTCTTGCACGTCCTCGCTTTACACTTCGGTCGCATTTTCCCGTTTCCATTGTTGCTTAGTTAGGTTAGGGGTATTCGGGTTTTGGGTTTACAGCTCGCTAGCACATGATTGAATCATTTCCTACTCTTAGCACAAAAACATATGTGCATGCTCGGCATGCGCGTAGTGATACACTGTCGTGGAATTCATAATATAAACTCCTAAAACCTCCGCTGCATATTCAGTGAAGATAGTAGTAGTAGTAGTAGTAGTAGTAGTAGTAGTAGTAGTAGTAGTAGTAGTAGTAGTAGTAGTAGTAGTAGTAGTAGTAGTAGTAGTAGTAGTAGTAGTAGTAGTAGTAGTAGTAGTAGTAGTAGTAGTCGTGGTGGTGGTGGTGGTGATAGTTGAATCTTCTCTTCTGAACGCATGCCAAGTAGAATGAAGAGAGTGCGAGCTACTACTACTACTACTACTACTACTACTACTACTCATCATCCATCCCGACAGTGACTGAATAATCATATACATAGAAGTTCTGCATAGTAACTAACCGTCTACCAACCCAAAAACTACTAAATAGTATACACTATCACACGCTCACTTATATCTACCAGTCAGGGACATAGTAGACAATCCGTACATATATTAATTCCCCTCTTTCCTTCCAATTATCTCCACTAAGTTGAAAAAAAAAAAAACATGATCATGATCATCATCATCATCATCTAATCTACCCATTACATAATACCCTCTTCGGAGCCAAGGCGGATGATTCTCGGGATTCTCGACACCAATAACGGGCCGGGCCGTTTCGTTTCCCTTTTTGCTGTGTGTGTGTGTGTGTGTGCACATCACATCATTTACGTAGTTGCCAGAGGTAGATGGATCGAGATTTAGAGGAGTGTTTATTGCTAGACAAGTTCCTAATATTACTTGATGATTTCTTTAAGGAGAATGTTCAGGGAAGAGGTGAGTTGATTAAGGATTTCAATATAGTTTATATCGCTAATTAATTGGGTCAAACTGAAAGGAGAGAGAAGCAGTTGGACAGTTGGAGTCATGAACAGTAGATCCCATATTGTATTAATCTCTAGTAAATTCGCTCTGGAATCACTGTATAGCAGCCTGTATATGATCAAAAAATAGAATAGAATACAACTTGAGAAAGTAAATATCGAATGAATCACACAAAACAGAGAGCCACCACGTCTATCGTTTTGGGTAAGAGTAACACATGAAAGGAAATAGTAGTAGGAGTAGTAATAGTAGTAGCCTGTGGGTAGTAGATAGTAAGAGTCGACATGTGTGCCAGTACATTCACGAATGGTATCAGGATGTATAATAAGAGGGTGTATATCTGAACAATGAGTAGAAGATAGAAAAACGCTGGATCGCTATGTAATGATACGATGATCGACATCGTCGACTGTCAAAGTCGACGGACGGAAAGAAGTCGTGCCGTGGCGACGTGGAAGCATAATGAGTATGAATAGGATAGGATGAACATGTACAAGGCATGCAGGGTTCATCATGCGAATGGGTGAATGTATGTATAGTAAGGAGTGATTAGAGGCTGGTTGATTATATTTGCGGCATTCTGGACTGCCGGGACACACTTCGACTTTGCATGCCATAGCCGGCGGGAACTGGTGCGGAGCTCTTGCGCTGTTCCCGGATAGTCTGGAGCGGGGGAGGCGAGATGCACTGTCGCAGGTCGGCGGGTGCATCACCCCAGTTGGTCGACTGTGGGTCGACTGGGGATGGGATTTTAGGTAGTGGACAGTTAGGCGGTGGTGCAGCTGGCGGTCCGATCAGCCCTGGCATGCTCTTCCGGCGACCCATGGCTACTGGAGGCAGACGGGAATTTGGATCTGGTTGGTACATAACAGACCCTCTGGTCCGTTGCTGATCACGACGTGTGTCTGAACCCACGTGCAACATGTTTGGCCCTCCGCCGACTGCAGTCGTGGGCCGCGGCACTGGGGCTGCCATGTTGGGTTGTATGCTCCGAGGCATGCGAGAGAGACGGTTGCCTCTGGGATCCGCTATACGTTGATTTTCCGCTAGCGAGTCTTGGGAAGTGGAAACGCGCAGTGGCGGTCGTTTAGGCTGACCTGCATGGAGTGGCCACGGCTTCTTTGGTTGCGGCTCCGGCTCTTGCGGTTGTTGTTGCTGCTCCTCGCTGGGCTCCTCCGGCAGGAAGCCGTTCGGAACCTTGCCTGGAGATTGGGGTGGAGAAGGAAACGCGGAAAGCGCAGCAACTGTACTTTTGCTGCTTGTGTTCTCCACGGCTGTAGGAAGCTGAGAGACCTGAGGGACTTGGAGTGGGCCAAATCGGGCAGTGAATCTCTTGCTAAAAGACGGCACACTGAAGTTTGGTGCGGGCGGCGAGGTGCTGCGGAGCACAGGATCCGGCTGTGTCGATTGTGCCCGTGGGATCTCTGCAGCCATCTCAGCGGCGGTCTTGATCGTTGATGGAGACGATATATTCAACGATCGACGCTTCGTTGAGCTTTTGACGCTTGGACTTGCTGTGCCGTCCAAAGACGCTGCGACCATACCGCCGTTGGGTGGAGAATTGGGGACACTTGCGCTAGGAGTAGACGAGTAGAATCGTCCCGTACCGCTCACAGGAGATGTTATTTCGGTATGTGTGGTGGATATAGAGCCCGAGCGGGAGTCTGATGCGGCGGGCATGACTATCGACCGGCGATTGAGAGAGACGTATGAGCTCCGACGGGATTGGTCGCTAACGCTGACACCGGTGTCCTTGTCTTCCTCAGATACAGACTGCTGAGGTTTCAGTAGCATAGAAAACCGGTTTGGATCTTTGGTCACCATTTGGCGGATACTGGGCTTAGTCTGAAGCTGGGGCTCTTCCCCATCGTCGGCTGTCTTTTCTGAAACATACTTCTTGCCTCCTCGTGCTTCAATCTGAGCCCGGACGGCCAGGAGCCAAGAGCTCATATCCTCGGGGTGGTCGAACACTAGAAGGAAGCAACGCTCAAGCCGCCGAGCTGGAGACCTATGAAACCCAAAGCGAAATCGGGGGGGCTTAGTCGAATCCGTGCCGTCCTCGTCAGTGTGTGATACCTGCAGCACCCAATGCTTCCCAGGAATCGCATCGCTAGCAAAGGCTACAGTTCGAGGACCGAGCTGCAACATCTTCTCTGGCAACCTGTCGTATTTACCGGAGCCGGAATATTGTAAGATATAGCCAGCGGTGGCCAGCACATAGACTTTTTGGGTCCAGTCTGCTTTATTCATTGTTTCGGAGAGAGTGCGCATGTGTCGTTTCCTCTCCTTGTCTTCCTTTTTCTTCCGAGCCGCGCCATCCTCCGCCGATTCTCCGTTGGCAGGCTCTTCTTCACGAGCACCAGCTTTCGCCTTTGAGGTGGCATGCATGCGCATGATGGAGTCCACCGACATGGCGGGGACAGGAAGAGTGTCATGCTTGATTGCCTGTGGATACGCCTGAAAGAGTGGTGGTGGTTTCCATCCTATCTCACCCGCAGCAGGCTTCTCGTCACCTGTTTTCGCACGGGACTTGGAGGGAAGTCTGGACCGTTGAGATGCTGTCGTTATCGGCGAGGTAGGGAGTGTAGCTGTCGAAACGGTAGTCTTCGGCGTGGCAACAGCTGTGGGTGATTGGATCACCGGAGCTGTTTCGGTTGCAGGTTGTGTGCTTTGCTGCTGCAATTCATCGATGCCCGTGAGCTTAGCATCGCTGGGTTGTTTCCGGGAAGACTTGTCGCGTCCGAAGATGTTCCGCAGACTGGACTTGGATGTTTGGCGCTTAACTGGTGTGGCCTGCAATGGGACTCTTTCACCTGTCTCCGCATCACCCTGGAAGTCCGTGGGCCGTGGACGCTGTGGTCTGCCGGGTGGAACCTCCACTGGACGTGCGGTTGGGCGACTGAAGTTGGTCTGTAGAGGGGCCAATCGCTGGCCTCTGCGCTCGCTGACCGATTGTTGAGGGGAGTGAATATCCAACGTCATCCTTAGTCAGACCTCCACTGTATGTCCTGAAGGCGGACGTCGGAATGCCTGCTGTCTAGAAAAGGTTGGGATGGGTATATAGTAAACAAAATCACGCGCATCAATTGATCGCAGCAAGATTGGGTATAATTAACGAATGGATAGATAAAAGAATGGTGTTAACAATGACTGCTTCATTGATCGATAAGGAAAGATTAGGGTGCTTGAAAACAAGAAAAGTGTCATCGCAAGCTGACGATGATAACTCAAGCATAGATCATGTCCGACCGTGTAGGGCACAGCAAAAGTCGTTTATAAAGGAGAGATCTTGGATAGACGAGGTATATTGCATCCAGCGTGAATCCGTGGTGGACGGCGAGTACGAATTGGACTCAAGGTCTTGGGGCGTGCGCGACAGGGAGTGACGAAGTGGCCGTGTGGGATCAACAGACAACCAAATCAGGGAAAGAGATTGGGAGTCAAACCCACGTCATAGTCGGCAATTGGGAGTGTGGAGGCCCGTAGTTGATAGATTGCGAAAAGACCCAGAGCGCGAAAGAGAGAAGAAGAATTGAAGAAGAAGAAGAAGAAGTAGTAGTAGTAGTAGTAATGTGTATAGGCGTGATTGTGTGAACGAGAAAAGAGAAGGAGGAGATGGAAGTGTGACAAAGAAAAAAAACGGACCAACGCGAAACAAGACGAAACAGGCTCCAGGCAGGCCAGCAGCGCAAAGTTTCTGGGATTAAATTAGATTATTGATTGCCCGTCCATAGAACCTGCCCCGTCGGGCCTAGCCAGCGACTAGAGGGCTAGTGGTGATGACAAGCAGATCTGAAACGGTCTGCGCGCGCAAGCGAACCCCCTGAGTGGAGGGGAGGGGGATTGGCTGAGCTGGGGATGGGCTGGAGAGAGAGAAGGAGGGAGGGAGAGAGATGAGATCGTATGGAGTAGGATAGATTCGCACAAAATCATACCAGATAGTATGTGATGTGAATGCGCGACCTGCATCTCTCTCCCGCCACCCAACTTGATCACCCAACCCAACATATCCACTCCTCCCTCGGGGGAGAGAATCCATTATGAAATTGGAGAGTCATGTTGATGCCCCTGAACTGAGCCAAACCTTACGGTCCCCACTTTCCGGGCAACGGTTGTCGGTTGATGAGCGAACTAGAGGCCTCAAGAGGGGGTGGAATTCGGTTAGTCGTGTTTAATTTTCTCCGGATGATGAACACATCAATTGAAAACATTGGAGAAGGGGGGAAAGGATGGACGAATGGAGAAATGCTTACCTGCAGAGTGACAGGATGTCCGTGTCAGATTAGATGTCGGTAGTATAAGTTGAGTTGGTTGTGTTTTTTTTTTTGATTCTTCACACATCGGCTCGGCATCTGGTTGGATGGCCTGACCCGAAAACAGGCACAAGAGTGGCACATTCCAGCCATTTTTCTCAGCTGAGAGTTCTGACTAACTTAGTACAAAGTAGCTTGACTGACTGACTAGGTTGGATTGGTTGTTGAACTACGCCTTTTTTGTTTATTGTCCACGAGGAATATAAGCGCTGACTAAGAGGTCACCCCCCTCCCTCCCCTCCCTTGTTTTGATTGTTTGAGAATTAAATCAGATGATAATCAATCATTTTAATCAATTTGGCTATCATGGGAATATTCCGCTGGCAAGTCACTAATAAATACCAATCAATCACACTCAATATTAACATGAATCTCCCCCTCAGCTCCTTACGCCACACAATTCCCCCATTCCCATCCAACAATGGGGATTGGGATTAGTCTCGACCCGGAGCGCACTTTTTCCCCTGTCCTTGTTCCACCGACCCCATCAGCTCCGCTGCCTCGTCGCAATGCTGCGCCATTTCCAAGTCCTTCTCACTTAAGCCCCGAGGATGGTGGGTAGTCCAGTGGATATCGACCGATCCGATTCTCTATGATGATTCCAAATCAGCCTCAATCATAACCATTTCACTTCACCCCCCCTTTTTTTTTTTTCTCTCTCTGTGATGAGTCACACTTACCACAGTCATGGTAGGATGGTGCTTCTTGGTCGAACTCTGCGATGCGACCACGTTGACAAAGCTCTGCAAATAAATCCCAAATCGGTCAGATCAGCTTGCGCCCATATCATATCTAACACATCGAAGGGAGGGGCGGAAAACAGGGGGAGAAGGAGGAGGAGAAGGAGGAGGCCAACATACCACCGCCTTGAAGTACGACTTGAAATAGAAGGTCTTCTTCACGCCCTGTCCATCCTCGTCCAGTACCCATCCCTGTTCCTGCAGCGTCTGCAATCCCTGGCGCGCCTGTTCGGGGTTGGTCCCCTCTGCAAACTGTGGGTCCGCCATCGTCGAGGCGTGGCGGCGCAAAGCTCTCCGATATGAAGGGGTGGTGTTGGGGAGGTTGGAGGTGTAGGTGTTGAAAGTGGTCGCCGCAGCACGAGGTCCGAGGCGGTGGGAGGAGGGAGGGATAACGCGAGAAGAGGAGGGTCGTAGATGGTAATTGCGGCGGAAGTAGTAACGCTGGAGGCGAGTGACCACCGCTCGGGGCTGCTGAATTGCCCTAGATACGTGGTCCATGCTGAGCGGTGGTAGAGAAGGGTAGATCAGACTATCTGCATAGCTGGCGCCGTCGAGTTATCGCAGCAGCAGCTCTCACTAAGCATCGCTCCGCGGCCACTGACCGTCTGGGGCACGTGACTGGGGGTGGCTGCGGACGGGTCGATCTCCCGCGGCAAGCGAATGGCCTGCATCCGCCGTGAAGTGCTCTTTCGCCACAATGCGCTCGGTCGATGAATAGTTTCATACTGACCACATGAACCCCCTGCTTGGTACATCGATTATCTCAAGTCAGCCTCCTGCTTCCTGCACTTCTCTAAAATTAGCTGTCGAGCATAGTGCCAGGGTTTGGTTCACTAAACCCTGAAGCATATACCATGATGAGACCAGATACAGTACGTTCTTGTCAAGACCAACAAGCGTCGCGAGAATTCTCTGATCAAGAATTTCTCGCTTAAGGAAGACCAGTCCTAAACACCCTCATAGATGAAGGGAGCCATAGAAAGCATTGAAATCCCTTGAGTCATTCAATATTGAGAAGCCAACCAATCCCCTTACATCCTCGGCAATACCACCCGAAGGACCCATCCACCCTTCGACGGGGCACCACATCGATTCATTCTAGAAAAGCCGACGAATGTTTCAAAACTCCAGATGGCAGAAACATGTGATTCCCCAAGGGCCTGTAGATCTCCCGCAATGGTACCTGCATCAATCAATGCATGAGAATCAGTGAGGAGTCTGATCTTTCAGACGGCGAGAAGCAAAGCACAGAAGTACCAGTTTCACTACACTCGGGTCCGGTAAGATGATAGCATCGAGCTAGACCATGTCGACAGTTAGCCAAGCGCTGTAAGAGGTATCCATCCATGGCTGGCTTTTGGTATCCATCCCAGGGATCGGGGGAGGGTATTCCGAGGCTGCCGAATCCGATGCTCCCGTCCGGATCCAGATGCAAGGTCGGTGTCCCCACATTCCAACCATCGGCATGATTCGGTCATTGCAGATGACCGCCATCTGAATCTGTTCGGTACTGCTTGACTCGGTCCTCCATGGTTCTGCTCCCGCTTGGTTGCACCGTCTGGTTGCATCCCACCGATCCTTATCTCTGTCGCGATCGTGCGGGACCGGTATAGGTTCATGGGATTTTATACTTTAGATATTAAATGGTTTCCAATGGTATCTTTTTATTTCTTAATTGTCCCATGAAAAAGAAACCCCTATCTAGGATTTCTTCGAGGGTGAGACCGCGAACGGCCGAGCCTGCAAAAGCTCATAGCTACATGTTTGAGCCAGCCAGAAATGGCAACAGCTAACCAAGACAGCCCAAGCAGTAGAAAGCTAACCTAGTACTAGTACACGTTCCAAAAAGCGAAGCAAAGCTAATACGTCTCTCATTACTTCCCGAGCCAGCGCCTTGCCTAGAACTGAAAATGATTGTTGCGCATATACTATTGGGTATTGTAGGCCAAACCGTTTTCGGACAGAATATATAAGGGACAGGTCCGTGGATGGTAAAGAGTAAAGCAAACAACGTTTATGACCTGCAAAGGCATCGGCCATGATTGGTATCAACGCTCATTAATCGTCTCAGTGACATCGTAAAAATGTATCCGAGCGGCTCATGTCGCATGCGTAACGAATTCGGCATAAGAGCTCAGCGAGAAAGACTGTTTCTCCGTGAGTTGACACGGGAGTTGACGTTCGACGCTGGGCGGGATGCTATGTAGCTGCCAGGACGACTCCCAAGCGTATGACGAATGCGCAGATTCTGTTGCGAGCGTGCAAAGGAATTTGCCCTTGAACCGGAAGGAATCTTAGACAGCCGTCGCCCGTGAGTCTGAAGCTCGACTCTCGCATCGGACAGCTGCTGGGCAAATGGCGACCGCTTGCGGAGTGTTGGTCCGTACCAGTAGATGACGTATACTGCAATGACCAGAAGGAAAGAGATACAGACTGGAGGAAAGGCCGTTAGTGTCCCATATCCCCAGAGGCAGGGCACATCAATAAGACTCACATAGGATGGTAGACGCGTATTCCAGGTGGTATTTCCCGCCAATGTCTAAAGTCATCTGTTAGAATCCCATATGAACTGTGACGGTAATATGTTACTTACTCTCAAAGAAGGGTGTGGCAGGGATGGTGAGAACACCAGCCAAGAAATCTCGAGACCATCCGTTGCCGCCCGTTGCAGAAGCCGAGTACGGTCCGTAAGCGCAGATCATGTAATCGATAGTAGCCATGTAGATGCTGTAGTTGGCAATACCGACGATGGCAGAGAATATCATGCTTCCAATCCAATGGACAGGGGGTCCCAAACTGGTCCACGCAAAACCAATCAAGCCAATAGGCAAGCAGGGTGCAGTATAAAGAAGGAACCAAAGTCGAGATTCGTACTGAGCCCGCTCATCGTCAGGCTTCCTGCGCCGCTCCTCAATGTTTCTTCTAATGACGGGTATGAAAGCGCCCCATGCGATAAAATAGCCCACGAGAATGGGAAGGAACGACAGGCCTAGCTCCACGGTGCCGAAACCCCACTGGTCGTACACAAGGCTGAACGACTGAATGAACATGAAGATCAGGGCATCACTGAAACCACTCAGCAGAGATAGAGTGAGGACAATCGGTTCCGTCAAGAACATCTTGAAGGGACGGATCCAGGTGATGAGGACTTCGTGCATCGAGAAGCGGTCCCTGAAAGGGACCAGCTCGTTCGGTCCATAAATATTGGGGTCTTCGCCGCTTTCCCTTCGCTTCTTTGCGATACGGTCCATCATAATCGTTGTCCGGGTCTCAGGGACCAAAAGGAAGTGCGCCACCTGCACGAAACCCCCAAATATGAGCTGAATCCAGATGTTCCAGCGCCACGGCAGATATGCTTCCACAAATCCTCCAACAACTGGTCCAATCACTGAGCCACCCACTGAAGAGAATACCACGCAGGCGACAGCATACTGTTGGTCATCGGCTTCCCAAAGGTCCGCGATCATACCCAGAGTAACTGAGCCACCAGCTGAGCTAAGACCTCCCAGAGCACGTCCTACCATGATAGATGCAAAATTGGGGGCGAGAGCAACGGGGAGTTGCCAAATGTTCACAAGGAACAGACTGAGCTGTAAAATCGGCTTCCGGCCCAGTTCCTCACTCCATGGTGCCCAGAGCTCGCAACCAAAGGCGTAGAGAACCAAGAAAATCATAGCACCACACCGAGCAGCTTGCATGCTGACTCCAAATTCTTCGGATATACCGGTGAGGGCGTTGGAGTAGAGACTGGTATTAAAGTTCATTGATGTTTGGACAAGAAAGATTACGGAAATGATCATCCATTTCTTCCAGCTGGGAAAGGCATAGCCGAGTTGGTCGTAGCAGTCTTCCTCAGTCAGCTCGACCTTTTCGGACGCGGCATTCTCTAATTGGTGTAGAGTAGTTCCAGCGTTGGGGTCTGATGGAAGCGGTTGAGACTTTTGCTGCTGTTCCAGAGCCTTTTCGGTTGCTGGATCAAGAATGGTGTCGGTTTGAGTAGAAGATGAGGCTTCTGACTCATGAATCTTTTCATGATTACTCATGTCTCTGTCTGGGCGAGAAGCCATTATGCGCACTGTAACGTACTGAATTAGTCGCTGCATGGTGTTTGCTTGGAAGAAATGTAAACTGTGAGAATATTGGGAAAAGAAAGCAAAGCATGAAACGCAGAGATGCTTGTAGGTTCACGCCATCATGCGATAGTCACATTGGTGTATGAATAGCATGTACTTACAACCGACCCAGACTGAATAAAGATAGAGAAGACCAGGCAATCAAGGCGAGCAAGTGATGATGGGAATAGCAAATCACTGGAGGGGAGGAAGGAGCACTGAGAAGTTCTTGTTAAGGGAAGGACAGGAAAATAAGTATAGGGAGGAAGGAGAAGGAAGAAAAAGAGCAGGAGTGGGCGGAGAGGGAGGAAGTAATAGAAGTAATCACAAGCAGCAGATGACGGTGATTGGGTTAGGCCAGAAAAGGAAAGAGCGCAAGAGGACTGGAGCAAGAGATCAGGCCTACCTGGGACTAGTATCAAAACTACTTTTTCAGGAAAGTACCCCAGAAAAGGCAACCGCGATGGGGTTCTATCACGGTACTTATATCCCAGTAACCAGTCGCATCAGGGGAAGAAGTGGGTGATGTTACCGCAACACCCATGGATCGCACGGGCAGCACTGCAGTAATGACTCTGCTTTATATCAATCCACCAGTTTTCCCATTCCTCTCCAATAGGAGCCGGGGATTGTACTTTTAGAGTTCAGTCGGTCCAGGCGTCTCCGATGACTCGGGGCATGGGGAATTAGTTCACTTTGGCCTTTCATGTCCAATTTACACTTTTTTCTTTCTTGCTGCAACTTCAGCCTTCTGCCCCCTTTCTACTTTGCCACTCACCATTATTAAGGCCTGGTCTCTGTGGCTTGTAATGATGATGATAGCACTCGCATGAATTCTTGACAGGACTGGCATAACTCAAATTAGGGGAGATTGGATGCATATTTCCCGGATGGGGTGTTGGGTATCGGTAGGTCGTCTTTGGCCAAGCAGCCGGCCGCACACGGTTAGGGCCGAATGATGATGCATTTGGCCTGCCGAATCAGGACCGGCGTGGTAGGTACTACATACCACCTAAACCAGACTCCGAAGAGCCCACTTGCCACACTGACACGGCCAGTCATTTTCCAGATAGCTCTGGGGCGATGCTGATGGACGGATCCATCGTGCTTAACTCCGTCCTTAACATCATTCCTTAATCACTCATCGCCTGACCTCTGGGGGAAACCGGTTGAGTTTCCAGAGCCAGGAGTGGTCGGCGCGACCACCACGGCTTCCCCACTTCGGTGGTTGTCGATATTCATTACTCCCACTGGAGCCGTTCTGGGCCGATAGGACTACGGTCTCTAGAATGCCCGTTTCGGGGAAGCCTGCCACGACACGGGTGCGGGAGGACTTCTTCCTACGGTGAGAGATTGCGAATTATGTTGAGAAAACTGCACTTTAGACTTTGTGCGCCAGACTCTACATTTTATGGAAAAGGTGCCCTGGACAGGCCGAGAAGGTCTAGCCTGTCAATAATGCGGGCGCAAAAGTGTGCCCACGCAAGGGGCCGGGGTCTCCAGGTGGCCATGGGCGCTGTACATGACTGCGTGGCCTCCCGAGCAGATGGGTCATGAAAGCTGACAACCATGAGAACGAAAAAAAAAAATTTCAACAAAAGATATACGCTAAATACTGCTAGTGTTCCTGTCCGGGTTTTGGAGTCCGGGGGGGAGGGCGGGCTGTAAGAACAGGAAGCCACAGCATTGGTCTGTGTTCCGCTTTTTAGGCGGTTTCCATGTTGGACCCAGTTTTCCCTCATCGAATTTCCCACGGGGTTGGATTAGCTGGTCTCGGGGTAGCCGGGGGTGACGTCAAGCCTTCCCTGACCAAGGCGATCGGCGCCCCCAATGCTTTTTTTTCTCTCACGTATTACAAGTGTGTCATCGGCTTATTCAAGTCCTGGGGGTTTGTGTTCCTTCAATACCGTCATTGACTGTTTCGATGGTCGTCGATGTGGTCATGCTAATGCATCTGAACATGTAGGGGGAAATAAGCAGTAAATGATCACGTTGTCCCTACTTTCCAGAAGGCTGTATCGAAACCCGTTGCCGATCGAGCGCCATCACATAAGCCAAGCGGTAATATACAGGCTTTCAGCAAGCAAAGCCTCAAGACTTCCACTAGGACTGTTGACACACAAATTCATGATGACCACTCCGCCACCAACAGGGTGGTCGAACCTCCCGGTCTCACATGGATAAATGGATTGACCCCTGGCTAGTGTCTCGTAGGTGGAGATGGCGAGGTCATCTTCAATGAAGCCACTAAACAACTTCGGTAGTCTGCACCGATACGAAGCAACAATCAACCATAGGCTGTTGCTACAGCTGTTATGTAAAATTTGATTGAACCAGGAATGTTGAAGGATTCCAGCCTACTTAACCAGGAAGCAGTAGTACCCTCTGGAAGGGTCCGATTGTCGGGACATGGAGTACAAAGTACTACTACTATACCAAGAGCCTAGCACCGAGGCCAATTTGTCCTGGTGGCTCTGTATGGTCGGATAGTGCCGCCTTCCCACTCTCAAGGTTTGTCAAGACTTTGACGCCAAGATGGTGTGGCGGATGATCCCCTGGTAAGCAGACAAATTCGACTGTTGAGTGTACAAACTACAGCCCGGTGAGTCGGGTTCTCTCTGCAGGGACTCTCATGCCCCAGCAAGCATTCTTTAGAGGGGGAGGGGGCAACAGAATGTTCGATTGCATTGTGCTGCGATCTCACTTAGGCTTTTTATCCACTGACAACCACTGAAAAATTCGCCGAAACTTTCAGATCGATCTGTTCACGTGTGCGTGGGGGTTCGAAGTGGTATCGGGGAGATGACCGAAACCCGGACCGGCTTGCAACACCGTTTCCAGGGAAAAGCGACTCCAGGCTTTCCCCGGCCCAGACCGACTTTGATGCCGGATCCAGTGTCTCGTAGAACTAGGCCGAATCTAGGCATCCCGTGATCATCCCGTCAGCAAAGCGTCAGTCTGACATTGACCAGTTTGAAGGTTGACCGCCTTCTTAGTACAGTCATCCCCCGCCTTCAGGTGCAGGAATGCGGCACGCCGGCTCCAGCTCTGCAATCCACTGCAACCAACCCATTGTTTGAGCCAGTCCGTGGCAGCAAGTGCTCACAGACACACTGTTCAGTTAACGGTTCTCGCAAAAAGTGGTGGTTTGATCCTTCCAGTTGGACCTACCTCGTCAACAGACCCACTGTCATCCATTGGCCGGCCTCCTTTAACCTGCTTCCCCAAGTCATGTCGCCCGATATCAACTCTCTGTCCCCGACCTGGTCCACTACTTCTTCCCCGCGTCAACGTCGGCTGCCCCCGACTTTATCCGATTCCTTATCGTCACAGCATACTCAGCCAGACTTTCCTTCTGCAGCCCTGCCCAATATGAACAACGGTTCAGCAAATAATCATAGCAACATCATTGCCACTGATCTGCCTCACCGGCCCTCTCACAGTCATCGCTCCAGCATGTCAGGATCGGAACGCCGCCGGTCCCGTACCGGTTCCAGCTCAATCCTGAACAATGGCCATAACAGCGCTAGTGATTCGGCCCCCGGGGAACCGACCACAACCCCCCACGACCACCACCGGTCTTCCTTTGGCCATAGTGGGCTTCGCACCTCTAGTCCGCTCAGTAATGTCGGGGGGAACCCGACCGTTGCCACCGGGGACCCGCATCATCAACGTGCGACGTCCCTGGGGGAGCTCCATCAGGAACTAGAACAAGAACAAGAAGCACAAGTGGTATGATCCAACTATTACTGTGTCACTGCCCGGCGCATTCTTTGTTGCTATCGCACCACCATGAGTAAGAGATAGCCACTAACTACGCTCCTTGAACATGGCTAGAACCGTCTTTTACACATGATCCGAAGCCAGCAAGCTCAGCTACAGCACCTTCAACAGCAACAACAACACTCGCAGGCCGTGGTGGATGACTCTGGTCCTGCGGAACGGCTGACCCCATTCCCCCCAATTCCCCCGCTCCCCACAACCAGCAGTCGGGCGTCAACCCAATTGCCTTCCTCCTTGTCCAGCCGGCGACCCTCCCGCCCGTCTAGTCAAGCCGCTTCACCCAATCTCCGACCGCTGGCCGAGCCGTCGTGCGGGTCAGAGGGACCGGATTGGAGTGCAGGCCCCGGTGAGAGCCCAGCTCGGCGGGGAAGCAGGGATGAAAGCGCATTTTACCAGGCGGAGGCAGCGATGCTGACGCGCGAAAACCAAATGCTCCGACAGCGAATCCGCGATTTAGGTGCGCGATTTCCCATCCTCCCTTTTTGCTTTACTATCCTTCGTATCCTTTCATCCACTACTCCTGAGGCGCACAGAGCCTCGAAAAAAAAAAGCCTTTTAAGTACTTAGAGTTTCGTGCTGACGGCGTATAGAACGCCAAGTTAGTGAGCTGACCTCTGGTGCCCGATCAAGCGAGATCCCTGCGGCACCTACCGCACAAGGAACCGAGGCCGTAGATCACCCAGCGTCCGCAGGAGTGGGATCGGCGAACGAGTCGTCAGACAAGACCTGATTGACCAGGAGCCACATGGGAGGCCTTTATTCTTGCCCTCTTACACTTTCTTCTTTTTACAGTGTATTCTGCGGGATTACGGAGTGCAGCACTCTCTCCAGATCAGCAGTGATCAGCATGTTCTTGTGATAGATGGAAAAAGCCACGTCGGTATCTGAGCGGGCGTTCATGCGCAGCAAATAAAATATCCCTCCACGATGTTTGTCTGCGCATGATCCTAACATCTGTCCATACTATATTATAGTAGTGGCTGTGCGGTGGGCATATGAATACTCCTCATCCACCAACACCCGTAGTTAGCCGCGTGTACTCGGGCCCCCTATGCGTGGGGTACATACATACACTTAAGTAGTAGTGGGTGCATAGGCAAGATGAAAAAGAATGCGTGACCATAATGACCCCAACTTCACACCCAATGAGAAAGAAGACATACATACATTAGCGCATACGTTGGAAGTACTCCAGACCAGAGTCATCTCCACGGGCCCGCCACGCGGCTTTTCTCCCCCTCCCTTGCTCGAAAGTCAAATGTCATATTAAGTTTACTTAGTGTAGTTATCAACATATTGTT